AGCAAAACAAAGGAGCTGATTGTGGATTACAGGAAGCAGCAGGGAGAGGGACACGCCCCCATCGCCATCAATGGGACTACGGTGGAGAGAGTCAGCAGCTTCAGGTTCCTCGGTGTCCACATCACTGAGGACCTGACATGGGCTCTTCACATTAACACCATCACCAAGACAGCTCCACAGCGGTTCTTCTTCCTCCGCAGGCTGGGGAGGTTCAAAATGGATTCCAGGATACTCTGCAACTTCTACAGGTGCACCATAGAGAGGATCCTGACCTTCTACAGGTGCACCATAGAGAGGATCCTGACTGAGAAAAAAAAAAATTAGTTATCTATTTACCTATAGTATATCCTATTTCAATAACTTGCATATTGACTCTTATTGCACTATTTCCCTTTTTTTAAACTATTTTTCTTTTTGTATTTACTTTTTAATATTTACTTGTGTTTTGTGTTGCACTGTTGGAGAAGCCTGTGGCACAAGATTTTTATCAGCATAACTACACTGTAGCTATGTTCGTATGACTAAATAAAGAACCTTGAACCTTGAACCTTGAAACATTATGAGAACATAACTTTCCATTAAAAGCTATAGATATAATGAAGAATGAAGAATCTCCGTCCCGTTTTTATTAAAAGCAAAATACATCCTCTCCTAGTTGGCAACTCCTCGAGCCCTATAGGGAACCCGGAAATGTTAAGTGACCCAAAGCTTAATGATGGAAATGTATAGTAGGGTCCCCAGCACATAGAAACGGCTGGATGCTAAGTTACATATGTTGGGCAATTTGCACAATAAGTATAAGTTGTGTTAACTAGCAATTACCATTATAGCTTATGTGGACAATAGTTATGAAAATGGCTTCGTCGATTTGGACAATTTTGGAGTGGGGGTAATTAAGGAACGAGTCAATTTCAGTCAGTTTTAACCAAAAAATGCCAATGTTTGTACTCCCCGTGGGCTGATTTGATTGCTTTTGGGTCTATTAGGTAGATTTAATGTTCATCTTGCTCTCTATATCCAATGGTCGCAACACCAGTCATGGTAGTGAAAATCAGCCCACCGAGGGTACAAGTATGGCCACTTACCATTTTTGATACTGAAAATGTCAGAAAGGGACTTAGCATCCTCAACACCCCCAAAACCACTCCAAATGTGTTCAAATCGGCCAAGTCATTTTTAAAATATTGTTTACATAGGATATAATGCCATTACATTAAATAAACACAACTTGTGCCAATTGTGCAAACTGCCCAACATATGCAAGTTAGCATCCAGCAGTTTCTATGTGCTGGGTACCGTACTATACATTTCTATCATAAAACGTTGGTGTACTCAACATTTCCAGGTTCCCTAACTGGCAACTATTACTCAGTATTGTGTGGAAACCAGTTTAAGTGAGCAGACAGGCACAACAGACTGGGGGAGGAAGGAAAGAGGATAAGAAGTTCAGAGAAGAGGAAGGAAGTTATTGTTCTCTGTGCTCTGCAAAGAGCACATCGTAATATGTATCCTGCTGTTGAGGAGCACCACATTATACTGCCTTAATGTAACCATCTAACAGGAGCTTGATCATTATTACTCTCTTCTATCAGACTGTCTGACCTTGTTTTGCCACCTGCTGTATTTTTTATAGATCTTCTTTTTAAATCAGTTTCCTTCTCTATCTTTGCCTGACTGTCTTTTTACCCACCCTCCGCCAGACTATTCTGCAAAAACATACACAGCCCATCACGTCACAGAGAACCAGTCAGAGGATGGAGGAGCTGAAATGATCCTGGAAACCCTGGAGGCCACTGCGGCTGGACCCACTGCCTCCACTGCTGCTCCCCCCACTACCACTGCAAGTACCACCACCACAACGACTGGCATAGCCACAGCCACTGCTGTCACCACACATGGCACTCCAGCATCTGAAGCACCCGCTCCGACTATTGTGCTGGTGCTGGACAACTCCAACAACAACAGCCGGCCCAATCTCCACAGAGCAGGTATGTGATAGATATGATGGAGCTCAGGATCCTGTTGCAATCTGTGCAGCAATGACAGACGCACATTTAGCAGCAGGAAAGTGTGTAGGTCACTGTATAAATAATTGATAAGAATGTTCTACTTGCTTCTTCCAGGGAAGATCCTAAGCTGTGAAGGGACTCTGGCATCCATTGACCAGCCAGAGAAGCAGCACAGTTACGGGCGTAATGAGGGAGCCTGGATGAAGGACCCTCTGGCTAAAGACTCCAAGATCTATGTCACTAACTATTACTATGGCAACAACTTGGTTGAGTTCCGCAATGTGGACAACTTCAAACAAGGTGCTCCAATTAGTCCTTATTACATTTTCCCATTGGCCCACCATAAACTGCCAACAAAACGATCAACTGTTAAACTAAAGTTTTAATTATTTTAATATTGACCTTGGTTTTCTGCTTTCAAAGGTCAAACTACAAAAAAAAACATCTGTTTGTGACGAGCAGGGTGGACCCAAACACAGGGGACAGGAACCTATTATGCAAGGCAAGGCAAGGGGGTGCAAGGAGGGGCAAGGCAGAAGAGGATCTTCCCAATGTACGACAAACAAGGTTCCGACAGACTAAACAAAAACCAGGAAACAAATACAAGCAGAACTATAGGGATTGAGTGTACAAGTGTCAAGTTGTTGCAGGGCTAATAGAGAACAGGTGAAAATAATAGGGACAGGACAGACAAACAAAATAGTTGGGAAAACACATAAAAACAGGAACTAAAAACAGACATGAGGGGAAAGACTTTTCAATAAAACAGGACACTGGGATTTAAAGCTGCAGCGTGCTTTTATCTACTCTGTCATCTGCTCTCTACTCTGCTCCCTAACTCGCTGTAAGAGTAGAGTTCATTTCTATTTGTAGATCAATGTGTACTCAAAATACTGTACCAACTCAAAAACTCCTGTGTAACCCCATCTAATCCACTTAGAACAACACCCTTAGGCCATGACTAAGCAATGGAACATTTGCTTTCCAATTAAACATAACCATATCCTTAACTGGAATTTCAGTGTAAGCCTGGGTTAATTAAAATGACAGACATTAAGCCTTTTAGAGAGACACATACTGTATTTCCATCCATCTGAAAACAACATACAGGGTTCTACCTCTGGCGTTGTCCTGTTTTAATGTAGCCTATAGTTGTTTTTTGTTTTTTTTAAATACATTGGTGACATTGATTCATGGCGGATATCCTATGAGCTCTGTGAGACTGATGATCGTTGGAATGTAAGTCTAAGATTTTGGCTTCCGTGGGTGGGAAAATCAACATCTTCCAAATCCAATGAGGAATTGGATTACACTCTCTAAAGTCCCTTTCACACTGTCCCGGAATTGACACCAGATGGACACTTGGAATATGGAATTGTGAATTTTGCACGAAGATTGCCCCGAAGTTGGTCAACAGCCAAGCCACAGCCGAAGCAAGTACGATGCCTACAGAAGGCCACACGATGGCACCCGAACCACACACGGACATATGGTCGTAGACTTTACTGATGATTTAGAATGTATCCAGACTCAACGTAAGAGCTTTTGCCTCTTCGGGGGGGTGCTAACATTTAAACATACACTTTATTCTTTACTTTCTCCGTCTTTATATGTAGATTAGAAGATATTACTTATCTACGTCATGTTGTTTCCATAGCAACAACAACTTCCTGTCAACAGCGTAAACTCGCCTTCAAAATAAAAGCATCTAAATAAAACAGGAAGTTAACCTAAGTTACATTTAAGACATACAACTGAAACGAAAGTAACAATCACAATGTAATAACCTTTTCAGTTTCACAGAACACAAATTGGGTTATTTACATAATATGTTTACATGATTTTGTTGTGCAATAAATGCAATCTCGTTGTCATCGTACTATAATACGATGGCTACACGACGGCATTGCGAGGGCTTCACGTAGTCGTGTTGCCTTCCTAAGATAATCGAGCAGCTTCTTGTTTCCTTCGTATTGTCTTTGTGAAGCGAAAAATGCCTGATGGCACCGATGATCATGATCATATGAAGTAAAGGACGCGAAGATGACACGATTTGACAAGATGCCCTCACGCTGGCCTTACAAAGGGCAAAATGGACACACGAATTCAACACGAAAATGAATCTTCGCAAGGTCCTTTGGCAATTTTTTGGCATGCCAAAGATTTTGCCACCGCTCACAAAGTTGCAGCCGGAGCCTAAGAAACTCCACCGGCGGTCATACGATGGCTTAAGATGCCCTTACGAATGTCCCGATGTTGTTACGAATGGCCCAATGTTGTTACGATCAGAGCCAAATTTGAACATTTCCTCTATCATGTGTCCATCTGGTGTCAATTTCGGGACAGTGTGACAGTGGCTTTAGAGAGTTAAGAAGCTATTCCCTCGTAGGACCTGCCTTGTTGATCTAGATGTGTTTGGACAATGGGATTTCTAAATGCACCTACATGCGAGGCGTCCTGCGGGCGGGGGCTCACAGCTGTGCGCGGATGACTAGCTATTTGGTGAGGCCTGCTGTTCCCTGACATGTGCTCCAGCATTTCCTTTGAACTGGGCACAGCGGAGAGGGATTAAGAGTGGGTTGGCCTTATGGATGGGGATGGGGGGTGTTCTGCAGCACGTTGTTTTTGTCCTTCACTGGGCTTTCCGTTTATTATCATTATCTAAATCACACTTCCTGAGGTTGTAAGGTTAGGATAGCAGATAGGATGTGATTAGAACATGACGTCTACAGTACACAAGGTGTTTGTTTTGGAGTGAACCCCTGAGCAAACTGCCACATGAAGCCGATGTGGACACAGTCTGGCATTGTACAAACTTTGCCATTGGTGCTTTGAAAGGCACATTATATGCTTTGCACACACAGTGCGAAATGTATCCAACTTATAACAATATTAAACTTTATTTATGAAAACCTTTCAAACAGAGTTAGAAAGTGCTTTTATATAGCAATAGAACGACTTAAAACACACAGAGCATATGCCTTAACATATTAAACGTTTTTTTTTTAACATGGTCCTCCAGAGATTGAAGTGTCCAGTGCAGAGAATTGAGTTCTGAAATAAGCTGTGTAACAATTTGCATCACTGACCAGTTTGCTATATAAAGTATTATCCTTATGGATGGCTGGCAGTTGACCAAACACTTGAATCATTTGATGGAAATATTTTTCACTTTAAGCTACATTTATTAAAATAGCAGTTTTTGGTGGCAAGTCCAAGTCAATCTCGAGGTATAAGAACATGTTAAGTCATTTGCAAGTCTTGCGACCTGAGCATTTGAGCATCAGTTTAGCATTTCCTTTCATAGTTGAGTTAATAGGGCTGTTTGCATGGCTGAGACCACGCTCATTCGATGTATTGCAAATGTAATAATCGCTATGTCTGACAATGGGAAGCTCAACTGTTATTGCCCTACTTGTTACTTTTGGTTAATTGTTATATATTACTAATTGTGTTAAATGGTCATAGGATTATATGTCATATTGATGGACCCTGAATTTAATCAAATCTAATCAAATGATGGCAGCCTTTATGATTTCAGCAAAGATTGTGTAATTTAACAACATGTGAATAAATGCTAAAATATCTAAAAGTTTGATTTACACTCCTAACTAGTTAACTAGCTAGGTTATGGTAGTTGTCTTGACAATTTGGTGTCAGGGTGATAACAAAGGTGGTATTAGTGAACAGAACAGAGGTAGTCAAATGTTTGATACAGTGTTTCAGTGTATCTTTTCACTGCAGCCACAGTGGAGCAGAAACTCCTGATTCTAGACCGTTACACAATGGCAGTTATTGGATATGGTGGAGCCAGTTGCATCAGAGCTGTAACAGTGGTCCTTTTTGTGCAACAGAATGTTTTTATTGGCAACAAATAATTGGGTTTTTACCCATGCTTGATAAACGAGTAAAGCTAATTTAATATTCTTGTTTGTTGTAGGCCGATGGAGTAACCTATTCAAACTGCCTTACAACTGGATAGGCACAGGCCATGTGGTTTATAATGGAGCCTTCTACTACAACAGAGCCTTCACCAAGAACATCATCAAGTATGACCTGAGGATGCGATATGTGGCGGCCTGGACCCTGCTGCACGACGTGGTTTACGAGGACACCACCCCCTGGAAGTGGAGGGGTCATTCGGACATTGACTTTGCAGTGGACGAGAGCGGCCTGTGGGTGATCTACCCCTCTGTTGACTACGACTACAACCAACAAGAGGTGATAGTCATCAGTAAACTGGATCCAGGAGACCTGTCACTGAAAAAGGAAACAACCTGGAGGACAGGTCTCAAGCGGAACTCCTACGGAAACTGCTTCATTATCTGTGGTGTCTTGTACGCCGTCAACGTGTACAACCAAAAGGAAGGAGAGGTGAACTATGCTTATGACACCCACACAAACACTGAGGCCATCCCACGCCTGCACTTCACCAATGAGTACTCCTACACCACCCAGATTGACTACAACCCCAAGGAGAAGGTTTTGTATGCTTGGGACAATGGCCATCAGCTGACATATCGGGTAAACTTTGTTGACCAGTGAGCTACTCTGTGCTACAGATCACTGCAGACTGCCAGTATTGCACCTACTAAGAAAGATGCTCAGTATTTAACAGCCTTGAATTGGCCCCATTGGACTCAGGACTAAGGATGAACCTAAAGCAGCCTTCCAGTACCAATGCACGCTATTCAAACACCTGACCTCAAAGTGTACCAAACATACATGCCTTAAATGTGTATTGGGATGTGGACATTCATTATGTCAATAGAATGGACAATGATCAGTGAAAATAATCTCACAGGTTGAGTTAAAGCTCATAGGGAAGATCTTTGACTAGCATAGATCTTTTTGTGTATGTTCATTTATGAAATGTCAGCAGGCTGGCTTACTAGCACACCTACTAACAGATAGCTATACACAGTTACAGTTGATTTTGTTTTCAATGTCTTACAGCAGAGTTACAACACAAACCCTATAGAGAGTAGGAATGAGTATCGTGACCAAATTGGGCATAAAATGCTCTGATCTTTCAGGAAGCATCCAAGTAGCAACAAGACCTTCCAGGGATAATTAATCTCCCCTGAAATGAAAACATAAATGGAATTTATATCTTAGTTAAGTCAATGGTAGGAAACCTTAACATCTACAGCAGGGCTGGTATTCAGTTGCAACCATCTTGGCAGTGCTGACCTCAAATGTGGAGAAAGTTTTATTCCTTAGTATTTGTGTTTCACCCCTTTTTATTTATCGGTCTGTTAGTGGCTAAGGGCTATTCTCGTGACCATAATTGTAACCATGGTAGTCAGAGGAACCGTCAATAAGATAGACAGCTAATACTGTACCTTGCAAGCTCCACAGTTCTGCGAGTTGTCACTATGTCACCAAGCCTCGGGCAATGCTGATTCCATGAAGACCTGTGCATGAATACGATTGGACGTTCCTAGTCAGCTGGAAGCCAATGAGGAATAGTGCGGTGATGGTGCAGCAGTAATGAAACAGCTAATGTGGATCATTTAATGAAAGTGTGCTTTCGGTGCCCTACGTGACATCAGATACCCCGTTGTCTTCTGCCTTTCAAGTGGGCTTAAAATATTTCTACACATAAAGTGTTATTTTTCTCGATTCCCAACATTTAACTCAACCAATGACATTATTTCTGCCTTTATAGTAGTTTTTATTCCGAGAATTGTTTGTAAAACTATTGTTCCATTTGCCATCTACTCCATCCTATCAAGAACCACTTTGATCATGAATCACTTCTGATTATTATTCCGGCCTCATGATGCTGCCTGTGTCTTTACCATTGAAGTTGTTTTTAGGGTTATTTTGACACATGTTTCTAAGCTTAAGACTGCTTTTTTTCTAATTTCCATTCATCTTGTTGAATTGATATGGTCTTTCAGCAGCTTTCATCATTGTTAATAGTTCTGCATAACCATTACATTTCTTGTCAGTATTGATTGTGTTACAATTTGATCTCAATGCACAGTACCAGTATTAGCGGCCCTATCTTCAATAATAGTCACCACAAACCTTACATGTTTTCATTTTTGACTTGAGTTTACTCTGACAGTACACATAGTGTGGCTTTATTTAGCTTTTTCTTGAATTATCAGGAGTGTTTTGTTAAGTTTATCCATAAAAAGGCATGCTTATTTCAAACAAATAACTTGTATATTTGCAAAGTCTTTATACATCAATAATAATGTCATGAAATGTAACAATATTTGAAACCAGCTGTTTGTGTCTGTGTCTTTCATGAGAAGAGAAATCCATTTACAGTATAAGTCAGTGGTTCTCATACTGTTTCTGTCATTCCCAAATTTGAACAGGTGGGCCTTTTATGGGATTAGTTTTGTTTCATAAAGATAAAGCAACACTTTCTCAGAATAAAGCAAAAATAAATGTAATTAAAAAAATAAAACTATAAGTTGCAAACAAATCATTTGTGTAATCATGTAAACTATAAGTCTTTTTTCTTTGTTTTAACATATCTTTGTGTTTGCAGTTCTCTTTGCTTCTTTCTCAATAATCAGACTTTTGCTCTCGCTGCAGCTCTTCTCGTTTGCGCATCCTCATTTTTTGTTTTCGATTCTGACCCAAACGTCCCAGGGGGGCGGGACTTTCAAGGGTGCGTCCCCATTGGCTACTCAGTTTGAGTGACAGCCCACTACACCACAGATCATACAGTGCAAACTCCGGAGTCCACTCGGCCACGTTAGTGTTGGTGCCTCCTGGGGAGTGTCATGAACATATCGGACTTCTCTTATGGATTGCTGTGCATTATACTTGTGTTGTGTAGTTCATACTTTGTTCCAACTTTAAATATCTTAATACCTGAACACACTGCTGCTGTAAAATCATTTCACAATTTGGGATTGATAAAGTGTCTGTCTATTTCTTTATTTTATAGATACAAAAAATACATCTATGTATTTTCAATCTAAAAGTGATACACAATATAAACTGCGTATACTGTTATTTATGTTTTCAAAGACATGTTACATTTCAAAAGCATATATTGCAAT